GCTAGGCTCGGGGGAGGGTGCTATCATGCTAGGGCACCTAGCTCCCCAGGCCTGTCCTTACTCCCTACTCACAGGGCAGTTAGAGCTTATGCTGGGAAGCCCAACAGCACAAAGATTCAACTTCAACTCCAATCACTTCCCCCAGCTCTGGGACCCTCAGTTCTGCCTCCCTCCCTTTATTCCTAAGGGTAGCTGAGGCTCCAAGGCCACTTGAAGGGACACTCCCTTCTTCCTCCTCCCCCCCCCCCACCTCTTACCTCCCTGGAACCTGGGCTTTGTTCCATTGTCTGGCTGGCCACACTGTCAGCTTCAGACATCTGTATCATTGCTTTGCTCTGAAACCTTGTCCCTAATACCTGTCCCGCATGAGACCAACCCAGCCTTCCTCGTCCACCCATTTGTCAAAGAGCCACCTCCACACTGTCACTAAGGAGCTCCTTATGGCCAAACTAAGGTCACTCTAGATAACAGCTTTTTAAAATTAGTGTATGTTTGTGTGCATGATGTGGGCGTACATACTATAGCGTGTGCATTCAGACGATTTTCAGGAATTTTTTTTTTCACCTTTACAGGAATTCAAGGAATTAATCTCAGGTTGTCAGGCTGCATACCAGACACTTTACCCCTGGAACTATCTCACCAGCCCGGGCACTAGCTTTTGCTAGGAATGGTACTCTCTTCCCTGGCATCTTGCTCCAGCTCCCAAACTGTCATTTCAGAGCCCCTGATCCCATTTTTGTCACAGGGCAAAGAGCACACATAGCTGGCTACTAAGATGACAGCTTTATTGAGAGTTACAGGACACCCCAGGAAAGGGTGAAGAGAAGTGTATGGTGGTCAGCTGAGGTGGGGGGATCCAAATGCAAGCCCAGGTTGAGGAGAGCATATCCATGAAACAGATGATGCTGTTGTGGTACCCACAGCAGACAACAAGGCATACAATTGGGCTAGTGAAACCAGCCCTATCTGTCTGTCCAGGAATTCTGCCTTTGTGCAGAGTTCCTTATCTCCATCCATGACAACTGTACTTCCCTTTCTGAGGCTGCTGGTGTGTGCAACATCTGAAGACTTAGCCTGTGGCTGGACACCATGTCAGGGACTTCCACAATCATCGTCATGGCCACCCAGTACCAGCTGTGTTGGACTGAAGCTCCAAGCAAAGTCAGCACATCTGGTCTTCTGTATCCCTCACCTCGCAGGGGTGGGTACCTGACCCAATAGCTCCAGGGGTACCAGGAATGGGTTCAATGGGCAGATCCCAACTGCTTGCCAGGCCGGCCTCTGTTCTATGGGCTCAGAGGCCTGAGGACTGGCTCGGTCAGGCTCCTCGGGCTCCTTGGAGCCAGTCTCTCTTTCTTCATTCCCCAGCCTGGGGCTCTTCCCGCTAGGGAGAGAGGTCTGGGGGGCCATCAGTCGAGCATATGTTTTGGTCATATGTTCCACCAGGGCTGTGCAAGGCAGATGGGACAGCTCCTCTGGAAGTGACGTGATCAGGTCAAGGACCACAGCTGACTCTGATAGAAGGAAAGGGGAAGAATGAGAGGACAAGGTATGACCCTGCACCCCAAGCCCCCGCCCCATTATAGCCCCTCTCCTCCCCAGTTCCTCTTACCAGCTGCTGAGAGCTCAGGGCCATGGCCATTTCTGGAGGAGAAGGACAGGTATTTGTAGATCTTCTCAAAGTCCACAGCGTAGTCTTTCTCTGTGGAGGGGCCAGCCAGGGATTTGGTTGGGGTATCAGAGACAGTGACCTCAGAGGCAAGGCCAAGGGTCTCAGGGTTGGGATCAGAGGCCTTAGGGACAGGAACAGAGGTCTCAGGAGTGGAGTCAGCAGTTACAGGGGCAGACCCAGAGGCTTCAAGGCCAGGATTCTTCTGCCCTCCTTGGGCACTCAAGAACAGCAGTGGCTTTCCACAGGCCTTCGTGGGCTTGCTTGGCTTGGAGTGCAGGAGGCTGATCGGTTCTGCAGCAGCAATGGTGAGCACCTACGCAGCAAGGGAAGTGGGAAGGCCTTCATCTTCCATTGGCCTGCTAGGCTAGAATAAACCCTCCACCTCTACCCATTCCCCAAATCCTCCTGGCCATTCTGAGGGTGACCCACCCAAGAGATGGCCCTGGACAAGAGTTACTGGGTGTGGCAACAGAAAAGGCCCAGGATCCAGATCTACATTTTTCTTTATTTCCCTTTTTGGGTAGGGGCAGGAGAAGCCTGGAACTCACTGGCAATTCTCTACTCCTTCAAGTTTGGAGATTATTTACAACACCATTGCTTGACTAAACCCAGTGGCTTTCTACCACTGGGCCATACCCACTCCTGTGTCCTGTAATAAATGCCTTTGACCTGCCAAGGATCAGTGGGTGTACCTGGGAGAAAGCTGCAGTCAGGGCTTCCTCTAGCGGGCCTGTTAGTTTCTCAGCAAGATCCATCCATACCTGGGTGAAGCCAGCAGACACATGGTCAGTCTAGGGACCAGCCCCCAGGAGTCTTTCAAGCTTTGCCCTTCCTTGAATTCCTCCTTCAGGGGCCAGCCTTGGGCAGCCCTCGCCTTACCCTCCTGCCTTACCTCTATGGGGGCTGGAAGCTGAGCTTTTTGCCGCCTTAGTCCCTCTGGGCCACCTGGGTGCACCTTTCGAATGGCTTCACGAACCACACGGCCTTTGAGCTGCTGGATAAATCGGCAGATCTGGGGAGGAGGACAAGCTTTCTGTGAGTTCAGAAACAGAGGCAAGACCAGTCTATTGCCTTGCTTATTTCAGGAACTGCTACTGTTCCCTATCCCGGACCAGCCCAACGCTGCACATTCCCGAAACTACTGGGACTCAAGCCAAGGCCCCAGAGTGTGAACAGCTATCCTAATGAAAATGTAAAAGCCAGGTCTATTCTTGAGAACTCCTTCCTGGGGCTACAGCTTGCTCTGATAATGAGAACTAACCAATTCACTTCCACTCCACCCCACTTCCTGAACTCTCATGTCATATTAACTTTGGTCTTGTCCAGCTTCACCTTTTTTGTTTGGTTGAGATTTATATAGCATTGTCTGTCCTGGAATTATGTAGACCGGGCTAGCCTTGAACTCAGAGGTCTACCAGTGCTGGGAATAGAGGCATATGCCAACACACCTGGCTACCAACTCCACCTTAACCCAGTCTCCAGCCTCACTTCCACTACCTCCACCCCGCTCTGCTTAGCCCTTTGATTCTCCCGCCCACACACGTCTCCCTCCCTCCTTCCCTCCCTCTCTCTCTCTCCATTCCTCCCTCCCCCTCTCTCCCTTTTCGAAACACAGTTTCTCTTAGTAGCCCTGGCTATCCTAGAACTAGCTCCATAGACTAGGCTGACCTCGAATTTACTAAAATCCTCGTGCCTCTGCCTGCCGAGTGCAGGGATTAAAGGCGTGCACCACCACCACTCAGAAGCTCCACTGTTTTTGTTTCACTTACGTACAGACCCACAATCCAGTAGCGTGCCGTCCGAGATCTATTCCTAAGCTCCCCTCACCCTAAGCTTCACCGCGCCTCGTTAGCAGGCCCCTTAGGTAAACCTAGGTCGGCTCCAAAGCGCCACCCACCACAACCCCGCCCCACACCCCACTCGCGGTCCCGCCCCAAGCTCCACCCTCCAGGCCCGCTCGGGCTCAGCAAGGCCACCGGGCTCCCTGGCCCAGCCCCCAGCCCCGGGACACCACCTCGGCCTCACTGCGGCCCCGCAGCTCCTTGGCCAGCTCCGCGGCGTCTGGCTCCGGCTGGTCCCGCCGAGCCTGAAGAAGTCTCAGTAGATGTCGCATCTCGCGGGGGCTCCAAGCCGTGGGGCCGGCAGCCTCACTTAGGTAGCGGGCCGGGACCTTCCGCTGTCGCTGTGGTGGCTTCATGCCGGAACTCTAGAGCGCCCTTTCCTGGTGGGCGGGGCTACGGAGGCCGCGAAGGTCTGAAAAGGCGCTACCGGAAGACTTAGCGGATGGGGGCGTGGCTCGCGTTTGTGAGCTGAAGGACTGGCTCTGGAGGAGGATCCCCGGATTTTATTTGCGTTTTATATCACTCATGAGCTGGAGTCAAAACTTTAGACCCTATATTCCTGATCCAACCCGTGAAATACGTACGATGTGCTTTGCTTTTCATAGAGGAGTGGGCTGTTGCCCTAAAAAACCTGGGCTTGTCCTTTGTGAGGCAGGGTAGCCCTGGTGGCCTGGATATCGATGTGCAGACAGGCTGGCCTCAAACTCATGGAGCTCTTCCCGAATGCTGGATTTAAAAGCATACACCTCTACACCTGGCTCACTTGCTGTTCTTGTAGATGACAAGAGTTTGATTGTCAAGAGTTTGATTCCTAGCACCAACCAATTGTAGTTTCAAGGCATCCGACGCCCTCTTCTCACCTCCCCAAACACCAGGTACGCGTATGGTGCACATACATGCGTGCAGACAAAACACTTGCACACAGAAATCTAAACAAACCAACCAACCCTGGCTTGCCAGGAGTAATGAGGAGTAACGAGTAATCCCAGCATTTGGGAGGCTGAGACGGGAAGACCGTTGAGTTTGAGGTTAGCTTGGGCTACCTAGTGAGAGTCTAGCTTGAAAGAAAAATAAGTCTGGGTTATGGGGGTAGACAGCCCTGGAGACTTTGGTGAAGACTGATTGGTATTGCTGAGCCTCCGTTTCCTCATTGGTAAACTAGATCTGGAAATTCCATTGTTGCTTAAGTGCAGAGAAGGGGGGAGTTTGAGCAGGGGGGAGTCGAGGGGTACAGAGACCTGAATGAAGGTAGGGTCTGGGGATGGTAGTAGAGCAAAGGTCCGACCTGGGGAAGAGCGAAGGAGCAAGTGAGCTCTTGGAATGGAGGACCAAAGCAGAGTTTAATTTAAACTCAAGCTGGCCAAGTTTGGGGGTTATTTTCTGTTCCAGGCAAATGGCTCCTGACTCCCTGGGTGTATGTGTTCATGGGGATTGGAGTTGCACCCCTTCAATCTAAATCTTTCCCGGCCACAAATATCCCCAAGTTCTGGTCCCAAGGCACAGCCTGGAGCCTCCCTTTCCTGCCCTCCCTGCCCCCTATCCGTGGGAGCATATTGATTACACTGAACATTAGCAGGCAGGTCAGCAATTTATTTTGAACCAGGGGAGTAAAGACAAGATGGGGGAGATGGAGGAGAGACTTGCAGAAGTCCTCCCAAAAGGTTCTGAATCCATGACTGGATGCATCGGAGGACTTCACCAGGTTGTGGCATCTCTAGAGGAGGCAGAGACTCAGCGTGGGAGATCACCTCTCGGGTCACAACATTTTCCCAGCAGACATTGGCTTCCTCCATCAGTCTATGCACCGGTGTGAGACTAGGAACTGTGTCTTATTCCTAACTCTTACCTAGTGCCTGTTCAAGTCTTAAAGACCCCCTTTCTTCACTGCTGGTAACCCCGTGCCCCACATTCAATTTCCAGCTCCACCTTGACAGGTTACTTAACCTCATAAAAAGTGCTGTGTTTTGTTTTATTTAAAGAAAATCTCTGATGGAAACGGTAAAAGTAGCCGCCTGAAGGTTGTTCAAAAGACTAAATGAATATTCAAACTATTTGGAGCCCAGTGAGTAAGGGCTGTGAAGGACCCTTACCATCACCTCTCTTCGCACTCTGTGCTTACCTTCCTACGAGGGCCTCTGGAGCTGAGGGCCGCTGGGCGAAGCTCTAAGAGGCTGGCCAGGGGCTGGAGGTGCTGAAATAAGAAGCGGGCTAGAATAGGGGTTGCCTGTGCGCTGTGCCAGGGTGAGCGCGCCCCCTAGTGGGAGCTGCCGCAGGTGGACTAGCCCTGAGGGCCAGATCCGAGAGAGAAGTTCGCCGTTGTGGCGCGCAGGATGTAGGGGGGTGGGGGGTGGGGGTTGTATGGGGGAGTAGGCTGTCTGGATGTGTGGAAATAGGTGTGGGGTTCTGGCGGGACAGAAGTCGGTACCTGAGTGCGCGCAGACGAGACCGAGCCCTGCAGCTAGCGCAGCACCCAGCACGAATGCCGCTAACACCAACGCCACCACTGGTGCCGGCTCCAAGGCTGCAGCGGCTGGAGCGGACGGCTCGGGGCGCACGGCCCTGCCTGGGATGCTCTTGGACGGCCCTATGGGGATGTGCACAAGGCTGAGACCAGGCCCTGGACCTAGTTGTGTTTACCACCCGAGTTCCAGGGCCGCTTGCGAGCTTACTAGGGGGCGGACGAGGTACTGTGACCACGATGGGCTGCGTCAGAGTGTGCAGGAGCGGGCTGTCGGTACCAAGGCTCTCACCGCTGCCCGTGCATGCCTCATCCTGAGGCAGACACTGGGTTGGGAGGGAAGAAACCAGACGTCAGGGCCTTGGTGATTCTGGGTCTGGTCCTCCAGAGCTCCTAAGATGGACTTAAACTTCCAGCTCTCCATTAGAGCTAGGAGGTCACCACAGGACTCCCGGGCCCAAGCCCTAAACAGAGAAGTGGTTTCAGCCCTAGAACACCCCCTATGCCAGTCGCTAGGTCCCAAGTGAGGCACGCAAATCAGGGCTTTGGACGTGTCAGTTTTCTGCATCCAGTCTTCCAGTCCTAAAAGAACTCCAGATTCCCACCCAAGGATCCCAGAGCCTGAGGCTGTGTTATTTTCTGTCTCCTGGAGAGTCCCCATGCAGGTAGATCCATGAGGGGGTAGCTCGGTACCCAGTACCCATCCTAAAAGGAACACAGACCATAAAGCACTCTGCCTCCCAGGTCCCTAAACCTGGTAGAGTTCTTCCCGCAGCTGCCAGAACCGCTAGTGACTAACTACAGAGTCTTCCTCCGGTGCTGAGATTACTCCCTCTGCAAGCGCACCTGCGGAGGCGCCGGCGGGGTCAGAGGCGTTGGTGTCTGGCGGACAGCCCGGTGGCGCTGGCTGCGACGGCAACGGCTTATCTGGCAGTGCAAGAACTGCACTGAGGCGTTGAATACCGGGCGCAGGCGGAAGCTGAAGCGTGCGGGGCGAGCAGCATCCGGGTATGGAGGTGGTGAAAAGCTGACAGAGGCGTCGGCGGGGCAGCCCCCACGTAGAAGCACCAGAGCAGGCCCCAGGGCCGGGCGTGAGGAAGGCGTTAGGGAGCAGCGGTGCAGGGCCAGGCCCCATCTCGGTGAAGGACGGGCCAGAGCCGCCTAAGGAACCAACGCGCCATCAAGGTTGACCGGTCCCCATTTATCCCCACCCACCCTCGGTGTTTCAGGCGCCCGCACCTGCACAAACACATGGCTGTCGGCTGGAACCTCCAGTGGTCCAGTGCGGCGAGGGAATGAATCCTCTGTGTCTGATAAATCCAGACTGAAAAGGGGTCTGCGCAGCCAGGGGCCAGGTGCCCCAGGGAACGGGAGTGCTGAAACGGAGCATAGAGCGAGGACGCATTCCTTCTAGGGTAGGGCTTCCACCTCCAGCCCTTACTTCTCTTGGAATAGTAACGCATTGCAGGTGGTCTTTTTATCCCTGCTCAGCTGTGTGCCAAATTCTCTCCAAGTTACTACCATGTGCTCTCTAGTGATATCACTGCCTAGGAGTCAAAACCCCACACAGAGCTGTGCTCCTTCCTTTTCTGACCTCTTTTGCCACATGCAAAAAAAAGGGATGGGGATTTGGTGACCCATGGGGTTGACCAGCATTTGCACTGGATGGAGTTCAGATGGATAAGAGCAAGTCAGGGTTCTCTGCCCAGTTCAGGTTGCTCTAAGTCTTGGAGCAAGAGTCTTGTCTTTGTGTCTAAGAGATCCATTATGACCTACTGGCCACTGAGGAGAGGTAGGTGCTGACATCTGCTGTGTGAGGGCACCCTCCCTAGAAGGCTGAGCTTCAGTCCAGACAGGCAACTGGAATGAGCATTTCTGTTCAGTAGAGAACCAAGACCCCAGACAAATGGAGGACAGCACCAACAGGTGATGATGGATGGCCTCTTGTGCTCACCCAGGCTTGCACTTACGTGCACACTCTAACATGGTCTATGACTGCCGTCAAGTGGCAGTTAGCTGGGGGGTGTCTCAAGAATGATTTGCACACCTGGCCCCATTCCCACAGCCCTTGCCATCACTTGGTTGTTAGGAACTTTGAGGAAAGGGAATGACACCACCCCCAACACACCCAGATGCAACACTAAGTTGAGGAGGAGCAATAGGGAAGTGGGACATGATGCCCCCACCCCGTGCCAGCCTCTACATACCAAGTGGTTCATTGAGCACAGTGGCGGTCCCAGGGAGCAGGGCCAGGAGCAGGAGTGTGGTGCCCACCATGGTGGTCTATCCAGGCTGGAATGCTCCAGGCCAGCAGCAGGCACCTGGTTGGGCTGTACTCAGCCCTGTAGATGTGGGTAGGCAGCCCTGGCCTTGGTGAGTCTGCCACCCTGGGAAGCAGGGAGCGGGGGCGGAGGATGCAGGGGCTGACATCCGAGCCCATGCTCAAGGCCTGCATGGATAAGGACTTCTTGGTGTGCTGAAGTTTCTAGGAAAAGGGGGCCCCTCACAAAGTAGCCTGATACCCCCAGTCACTCCAATCACCTCCCACCCAGCTCCAGCCCTGACTGTTTCTCACGAAACAGGCAGTGTTTAGCCACACACTAAAAGCCCAACTCCCAACCCCTTCCCGCATCTCTATAAATTCTACCATTCTTAGGACACCACACTCAGAAGAAAAGGGAAGGGTTTTATTCTCAAGCGCTAAGGATTTACAAACAAGGGTATTTTGTTTTCAAAAGGGAGAGAGCAACACTGGTGGCCTGAGGAGTCCATAGGCCAGAGGGTAGGACCAGGCCACTCCAGGTCCCTACCTGCCCGACACCCACTCTGCCTGGGCCAGAGGGATGGCTGGTGACAGAGGGGAGGATTTGGGAGAGGTGGGGAAGTGGGAGACTCCCCCAGGCTCCCACTTAACACTGGAGGGGGATGAACACAGACAGAGACACACACAGAAAATAAAGTTAAATAAAAATAAAACCATGCGGCCCAGTCTTGGGCCTGTGCTGGCCCAAGGACCAGCCAAGTGACCTAACTACCCATGAAGGCTGCCCATGCTGGTAGCTAGCCTCAGAATGGTAAGGGTGGGGGCCAGGCTGGTTACCCTACCCCTACTTCACTCCACCTCCCCACATAAGGGATACGGAGAGAGGGTGCCCTGCCCAGGCAGAGCAGATGACTTCTATTGCAATTTAACCATGCGGCATTGTGTGAATAGGATGAAGATGAGTCAATAGGATAGTTAAGAGCCACAGTGTCACCTAAGCCTACAGTTGCGTCATCAGCTACATCCAGCAAGGTTTCTCAGCTTTGGTGCTGGGTTTTGTTTGTGGTTTTAAAGTATTTTTTCGTTTTGTTCTGCTATATTGTTCTCTTGTCCACTTGATTTGCATGCATCACCAACAAAAAGGAAACATACCCCACCCTGTCCTGGCCATTGCAGAACCATGGGACAGACATCTGGCCCACTCCAGGCCACATGCTGGGTTGGAGCTGGTCAGCTCTAGGTGAGCTGAGGGAGGATGCTCAGGGCATAATGGGAGTAGGTCACTTTACATGCCAATACCCTGGCCTCACTTGTACTCAAGCCTGTCCATCTCGTCCCTGACACACATGCGCAGACCTCCACATCTACTTAACTCTCAATCCCTGACTTCTTTGGAACCCCTCCTTCTGCCCTCGGCTGGCTGCACTCCTGTCACTGACCCCTCCAGTTCGCTCCCTGCTCCCTGCTGTTCTCCACTGCACTCCTCCACCGCCTTTCCTGAAGGCCATCTGTGTGGCTGAGGCCCCGTGGTCTCCCTCTGTACCACCTGAGCTCCTCTACTCAACCCCAGGCTGTAACCAGTCCCCAGTCCCATGTGAGGGTCCCCCATGAAGCCTGGTCTCTCTTACGCCAGAACTGACAAAGAGCAGCCAGCAGTCCAACCCCCCCAATGCCTGAGGGCAATGGAGAGGAGGGGGCCCACCACAAGCAGCTAAACATTGCTTTGGTAAAAGTTTCTGAAGGTACCGACACACCCCATGAGGACAAGCCCCCCTCCCACACCCTACCAAGTACAATAAAATACAATAAACTCCAAAAAGGACCCCCTGAGATCAAAGAGAGACAGACAGACAGACACAGAGACAGCAACCCATTTGGCTGCAGTCACAATGCCCACAAAGCAAGGACTTGAGGAGGCCTGGGTGGACCTGGGGCTTCCACTGAGGGGCAGGAGCGGCTGCGCCCAGGCTTAGGCTAGGAGAGAGGCAGAGGCTGGGAGGGAGACAGGAAACCAGAAAGGGACAGAGCTAGAGAGGAAGGGGAGAGGGGAAAATGGAGAGCAAGCATGTGGGAGAGAAGGTGGAGGGACAGACACTGGGAGTGTGGGGAAAGGGACAGGGGCTTTCTCTTTGCCCCAGGGGCCACCCCAGCCCATAGGTTATGATTGAATAAATACCGAGTCTGCTCATGGCCTGCTGTCTTCTGTTCACAGTGTCTGTCGGGGTGGGGTGGGGTTCGCATAGTTGGCTGACCCCAGAGTGGGAAGAATTAGGGACCAGCATGCCCGTCTGTCCACAGCTGGTGGGTAGGGAGTCAGAGGTGGATGGGTACCCCCTACTTTCTGTCCTCAGCCCTTGGCAGCCGTCCAGGTCCCAGGTCCCCTGATGGGCAGCTGGATTGGCCAGGTGGGAAGGGGGGCCTGTGGCCATGCCCCTGGGCCCCTATGGGGCTGGCCGCTGCCGTGAGGCTACCTGAAGAAGGGCAGGTGGTGTTGGCTCAGGACTCCACTAGTCCTTGGAGACTCGGTCTTTGCCATGATGTCCTTGAACCAGGACGCCACATCCACCTCGAGTGTCTCATAGTGCTTGATGAAGCTGTGTTCCTGTAGGCCCAGGAGTTAGCTTAGCATGAGGAGTCAGCCCTCCTGGTCTGCAACTGAGGCCGGGAGGACTTCACGTGTGGCGGGAGTTAGGGGCTAGGTACTCACAAGTAGCTTATTATACTTTGGTCTCTTCCTGTGATCTTTAGTAAGGCTGGACGAAGAGCAGGGAGAGAAGAGAAAAGATAGTCAGGGAGGTGGAGCCTGGCTGTGCCTGGATGCGCACCTGTGCTCAGGCCCTCCCCAGTGAAAAAGGAGTCTTCCAGATCAGCCAGAAGCAGCTGCTCACAGCCAGGTTCCACCAGGCTGGGGATCCACAAAGTCTCCTGGCCCAGGATAGCATGGTGAAGACCCAGCTGGGAAGTTGGAACCAGAATGTGAGGTTCACACAAGAGAAAGTTAAGGCTCAAGTGTGGTCTTCCTGCGTAACCTCCATAACAAAGCCCTAGGTAACCACACCAGACACCCATAGGACCAGCTGTTCCCTTAGGCCAGATCCAAAGACTCCAGAATTAGTTCCTGTCTACAGCCTCTAGTCATGGAGTACCCATGCCCATCTCATCCCTTCCCCTTTCCCCAGCAGCACGAGGACATCTGACATTCCAGAACATCCCAAGAACATCCCAAAGTAGAGAAGTAGGCAGAGTGGGCATGCTCACCAGTCTTTGACGAATGACTGGAAGTCCCCTGAGAAGCCCATGTGACCAGGCAGGAGCGGAGGCTCTTCCTGTAGGACTTTGGTAAGGACCTCAAAGTCTGTCTTGCAGTTCTTGTAGGGAAACTGTCCCGTTGCCAGCTCCACCTGGGAAGGTGACAGGCACTGCTGGAGCAGCAGGTAAGAGATCCCTGCCTTCCCACCAAGCCCCAGAACAGGAGCACCAACACACCAATGATATGCCCAGGCTCCACACATCGGCTCGGATGTCATAGTCCGGCTTGGTAGGGTCTGGGGGGTCAATGCGCTCAGGCTGCAAGGAGGGAGAGAAAGAAGATATAGGCTGAGGGTAGGGCCAGCCCACCCAGTCCCCCTCGTCAAACCCAGCAGGGCCCTACTCACAGCCATGTAGGCAGCACAGCCAGCACTCCGTGTTTTGGCCTTAGAGTCAACAAGGCGCCCACTGATGCCAAAGTCACAGAGCTTGATCTGGCCCCGCTCGTCTAGCAGAATGTTGGAGGGTTTGACATCACGGTGGATGACACCATGCTTCTCTTTCAGATAGTACAGCGCCTTCACAATCTGCAGGACAGAGATTCAGAAACCTGTCAAGGGTGGGGGGGACGGACACGGATGACAGAACACAGGGACAACCACCTAGCCACACAAGCCCAGACTTAGCCACTCACCGCCACAGTCATCTTGCCCAAGATTCGCTCTGGAATGGGGCCCTGCATTCGTTTCTTCAACTTCTCTGCACACGTGCCCATGAGCTCCATGGCAATGAAGACGTCTGTCTGTAGAGGAAGGGTGGTACACAGGGTTTGGGGCAGCCATGCTTTCCTCCCCAACCTAACCACAATCTGGTACCTGGGGACATGTAGGACCTATGGGGCAGAAGGCTTGGCCCCTCAGGCAGGGTGCTCACGTTGGTGATGAAGGTGCCAAAGCACTGAACGATGTAGGGGCAGTCGTGGCTCTTAAGTACCACATCCAGGTCCATCAGGATACGCTTATTCTCTTCCTTGTTCCCCGAGCGCCGCATTTGCTGAAAGGAGGGACAGCCAGGAGGGGAGCTTCAAGTGCTGGGCAGGCTGCAAGGGTACAGGATACATCCTGGAACTGGGGTGTGGAAGGCTCACCTTGACAGCAATGATGTGGCCTGTCTTCCGGAAGCGCATCTTCCACACCTGACCACAGGTACCGCTGCCCATCTCGCCCAGGTTCTCCAAGTCATTGATTTCTGCCTGATAACGCTGGGTGAAGAGCAAGGCAGCTGGAGGGTCCCCAGAACCTCTGCCCCTGTCACCCACCACCTCTAGCCTGCCTGGGTCCTGTCACAGCCCCCAGGATGCCAATGGGGAGGTAGTACCTGGCCTCCGATGGTCAGGTACCCTGTCTGCTTCATGATCTCCTGCAGCTTCTGGTCAATCTCGATGCTGAAGAACAAAATAGGAGCTAGTCAGAAGGGACCTACAGATGTCACCCACCTCCCATGGACCAGCACAAGGAGGGCCCTGTGCTGGCCCTGCTCCGCCAGCTTACCTCTCCATACTGCGGGGTGTGAACAAGGTTGATGGGAGCCCCAGCATGTGGCGGGGCCGGGAGGGCGGCGTAGGGTGCTGTGGGGAGCTCTCTGAGGATGGTGAGCGACTGCCCCCATCATTGGCCAGTGGGAGCTGCAGGGCTGGCGGGTTAAAAACCAGGGGCATGAAAGGAGTTAGAATCTAGCTGGTCTAGAAGGAGTTGGGGTTCTCATCTTCTCTCTCATATCCCTTTGGCCAGGCTGACACAGCCCCCTGCTCTGCTGGCTGGGGCCTCCTTCCCCACCCCCTGGGGTATCTTCAAGGTACCACTTCTGTCCCTTTGATCTGAAAGGAGATTGGATGGGCTGGTGGGAGAGGGGTGATCCCAGAAGCTGAGGGTTTGTCCTCAAGTACATACTGTAGAGAAATGGGGGGACTCTCTGCCAAGAACTTCACCCAGCAGTGCCAGAAAGCAGGC